TTTTTTTTTCTTAACATATATTGCATTATTTGTTTCAGAGGTACAGATCTGAGATTCAACAGTCTTGCACAATTCACAGACTAATGCTGATTTTCTTTATTATAAAGCCACAGTAGATATCAAAATGATAAATCATGGGCATTTTATCAGTATAATGACAACTATATGTAGCAAACATATACGTAGACATACGCTTAAGGGTATCCCTTTACCAGGATCTAAATGCCAAATAGAGAGCTTTAATTACTTCCCCTTCTGTCTGTGTGTCGATGTTTTCCAGGTGATGATGAAGGAGTCCAGGAGACGGCAGAATCAGATGGGGACACACAGTCAGAAAAGCCCGGCCAGCCTAGAGTTGAGACAGATGATTGGGATGGTCCAGGTAGGAAAGAAAATTTAAAATTCAATCATCTGTTGCTACTATCAGGGATTCACTTTTTTTTCCTTTAAATTTTAATTAGGTTGTAAAACTCTTAGAATCTCCGCTCGTGTTTGTATTTGTGTGTGTACTAAGGTTATGGTGGAAGTTTAAATAAACATCATTATTTAAAGAAGATCTTTATCTTTTTGTTAAAATACAAAAACCAGTGTTAACTTCTGCTTGAAATCTCCATCTTTTTTTTACTTCATAGTCATCTAAGAATTAGTTCATTCTACTTGCCTTTTTTTTTTTAACAGAAATCTTTATGCTATATCTACATTCAAATTGGGAATGATTTTTAAACTTTTAAGCAGGTAACAATACTATAAAGAAATATTTTCAATTTAGTCATGTTGTAAATCGTAGATGAAATCTCAGTTTCTATTTAGAATTTTAGACAGTATCAACAGATACTCCCATCTGATTCAAGGTTTTGGCAATATTTCCATTTTTACAAATGAAAATTAAATTTGATTTTAAGAATCCTGATATTGAACCATTTTGAGAAACACAAAAATGATCAAAATACTCCTAAACACCAAGATAGTTTTATGTAAATATGTACACTTCATAAGGACTCAATAAAAAAAACCTTTATATTTGATGCCAAGTAATTTACAATTGATGGTATATTTATAAATGGAGACTATTATGTCATAGGGCTTCAAGATATAAGCGGGTTTTTGTAATAGTTTTAGCCATAATTTCTAAAGCAGTAACATTTTTCATTAAGAAAGATCCCTATATTTCAATCACATTTTCACCCTTGCATGACTTTGCAAATTGCTCTCTGCTGTGCGTGAAGAAGAGAGAACTCCAGTGGTAATTTTCTGAAACCAGCAGCTGGAAAATATAATGCAAACAAAAATAAAGATGCAGTATAGCTGATTATTATGATGTCATTTCTAATGTTATTCATGATACACACAAATGTTTGTATTCTGTATGCTATAGCGTAATGGTTCTATGAGACTTTGGATCAAAATGTGTTATATTTAAAGTACCATAATACCACGTTTTAAGAGTTTGAAAGACAGTGTAGACTTCTGGCATTTTCACCTTATTGCATAATGCTTCTGTCTTCTCAATGTAGGAAAGAACTCCTTTGATTAAAAAAAAAAAATCTTTGGGAAACCTTTTTTTTTTTTTCTGATGGATTACATTTAATTTAAGAAGGGTGGATGAACTTTATACTGTATGGTTCTTTCTTCATGGAATTAGGTATGTATATGCTACTTAGAAGAGTTTTTACATTTGAAATTAGATTAGATGGCCTTTTGGATATGCCTACTTGCGAAGTGTGACTGTGGCCGCCCCCTCCATAGCGTAAACTTGGAGGGGGCAGCTTTTCTTCTTTCCTCAAGGCTGGGGCCCACAGTATTCCCTGGGACTTGGGAGTCAGTAAGCCGATTCAGAAGGTGGTAAATTATGAAACACAGAATGCACAATCAATGCCACCTTTCCCAGGAAGCTTTTCCAGAAACAAACTTGCACTCTTAGCTTACAGAAAGAGAGACGGAGAGAGGAGCAAGAATGATGTGTCATTCAGGATGAGATTTTTCACTGTTGAGTTAAATTTATATTATGTATCTGATTTAATGAAATTTTTATTTAGTTATCATGAAAATGTTTATGCTCTTTTCTGTGGCACATGTGAATATGTAAATACTTTAAAGGAAAAATGTATATCTCTAAGCAGGTGGGCCTATAAGAAAGTTCTTTTTTTTGTTTGTTGTAAAATTGATAACAGGTTTTTCCCTACAGATATTTTACAGCAAAAGGGGTTTTCATGATTTTGAAAGCCCTGAATTAATGAGGTTGATTCATAAAAAAAGACTATCTGTTGGAGGGCGGCCTGGGTGGCTCAGTCGGTTAAGCGTCTGCCTTCGGCTCAGGTCATGATCCCAGGGTCCTGGGATCAAGTCCCGCATCGGGCTCCCTGCTCAGCGAGGAGTCTGCTTCTCCCTCTACCTCTCCCCCCCTGCTCATGATCTCTCTCTCTCACTCTCTCAAATATTTAAAAAAAAAGAATATCTGTTGGATATTTATTTTTTAAGGTAGAAATTTCATTACTTTCCTTCAGTCAGGACAAAGTTTAGTGACAGTTCCTCAACATGTTAGAAATTGAGCTCTCTGTTCTAAGGGTTTAGCTTCAAAATCTGGATTTGCCACTCTGTTGAGTGATTTTTGGCAAGTTGCTTATTCTCCCTGTTCTATATCCTCATTTGTAAAATGTGGAAAATAGCATTCACACTTCTTAGGGATTTTGTGAGAATTAAATCAGATCACTCACATAAAATTCTACTTGTCATTATTATGGCTTTGGAATTGTTGAGCCTTGAAGGGGACCCATTTAAAATTCTCAGCATTTTTTTAAGTCCAGTAATATATCTGATACAATTTTTAAAATGCTAAGCATCTAGTTTTGAATTTAACTGCAAATGATTGGTTAAGACATGAGGTTATGAGCCAGGCGTGATTTCAAGGTTCTCCTAATTTTAAAGTCCTCCCACCCAGTCCTGATAGTCACTCTAAGATAGACAGCTTTCTCTAAATAAAAATAGAACAGAATCAAAAGACCAGGAAATTATCTAAAGAAATTTGAGGCATAGAGCTGACTTCATTTAAGATGGATCAGGATTTATCTTATTTTTAAAGAGTTTGAAAGAGTTTGATGGAAGACGACTCCACAACCTTTCTTGATGGCTCAATTCAGTAATGAATCAACTCTTGTTTGAAGTGTTTCATTTTTATCAAATGTAAATCCCCCAGTGCCAATTTTTTCCCCTTATTTGTTATCCAACTAAAAGGTACATTTAGTAATTGCTCACACCTTTGTTAACTCTTATGATTAGGCAGAACCTAAACAATCTTTAGAAAAATTATCTTACATTTGCAAACATTTCTATGGTGAAATTTTTTAATGTTTAAATATTTGTGACTCTTACTTAAATATTCTTCAAGTTTTTATGAATCTTTCACTGTTTGAAAGGAAAGCTAGACCCACACTAAGCTAATAGAGTTCAAGCCAATGTTAGTCATTATCTCATTATTTCAGTATTTCACACAACTGTTTTCAAGTTTCACTTTTCTTTTTTGTTCTTAAAAAAATTACCCTGATATTACCTTGCTTGGAATCTAAATGATAATGTTGCTTGGTATCTACTATCTCTTCCTCTGCATTTGCCTATACTTCCTTTCTGTCTCTTTTTAAAATCAATACCCCTTCTTTTCTTTTATCCCCACATAAGCACTTCAGTTTACCAGTAGTCCTATACATTTAATTATTCAATGAATAATTATTGTGCACTAATAATTGTGGAAAGTGCAGGCAGAAGTCTAAAGGCATAGCATAATGCTGTCCACACTCTTTTTGATGCCATTTCTCTTCTTTAATCTTTTAAAATGATTCATGGATTGTCACTGATGCAATCAATAATTAAGCATGAGAACCCGATGCTCTAAACTACAGAAGAAACTGAACAACTCTTAAAGTCAGATCTGTGTTTGAGTTCCCACGCTGACATTTAACAGTCTTGTGACCTCAAGCAAATTAAACAGCTAGGGCCTCTGTTTGCTTATCTTTAAAATGGGAAGAAAAGTAACTACTTTGAAACTAACTTTGTTATGTGGATCTGTATCATTACAGATTTGAAAGATCGTGTATAGAAAGTATCTAGCAGATAGCTTGGGAGAGCTTGGGATTTGCTAGATGATAAGAGCCTTCCCTTACCCTAGAACCTCTCATGCAGTTAGAACGCTGACCTCATTTTGAAAATAGTGTTTATATCTCTGGCTCTCTCGTTTAAGAAATCTTTAGAACCACAGTCCATGGCTGAAGTCTCGAGTGCTGACTTCTGTATTTAGATGTAGAGGGAGATGTGGGGAAAAGAATTCAGAGAAATCACTATAAATCCATTCTCCACCTTCATGAAATGAGCGCCTTAAAAGTCACATCTTACATTAATGCTAAGAATACCATCTCTCTAGCTTACATTATTAAAAACATGGTTACTTCTTTTTGCATTTGGAAATAGTAAATAGGGGCACCTGGGTGGCTCAGTTGGTTAAGCGACTGCCTTCGGCTCAGGTCATGATCCTGGAGTCCCTGGATTGAGTCCCGCATCGGGCTCCCTGCTCGGCAGGGAGTCTGCTTCTCCCTCTGACCCTCCCCCCTCTCATGTGCTCTCTCTCAAATAAGTAAATAAGTAAATAAGTAAATAAATAAATAAATGAATGAATAAATAAAAGAAATAGTAAATAATCTGATTTCTCTGGTTTAATATTGAACGTACCTAAGTCTTACCATTAGGCTCATAGCCACAATAATTGAAATTTCCAAGAGCTTTATTTGGTAAATGAATGTATCACATTATTCAAATTGTGCACATAAGTACATATACCCCCAAGTAATATGTATTAATACAAATATGCACAGATATAAAATTTTGAGCAAGTAGTCACTTAGATTCTTTCTCATGGACTTATCAAGATAAACATGCACTTTTATTTTGGTATTTACATGTTAAGCACTTGAGGTGATTCAATAATAATAAAGTAGAAAATCACACCTTGTATTGATGATTTGTTGAATTACTGGTATAAAATTCAAAATTATTTTTGTATTATGCATTCCAGAACAGCATGACTTGCTCCCAGATTGTTAAATGGAAATCTGAGTTTCTGTCCGAGGTAAATTATTTTGGGACAGTATAATGAGTGGAAAAGACCAAAAATATTTCTGCTATTTATATCTTGGCTCTGCCACTTATGAATTGTGTGACTTTGAGTAAGTTAGTAACTCTCTGAGGCCTCAGTTTCTTCATTTACAAAACGGGGCTAATAATAATCACTACCTCATTAATGAGATTTTCTATGTAAAACCTGAAGTTTGGTGCTCAATAAATAGCTCCTCATATCACTTTCTGTACCATAACAGCAGCTGTGCCCAGTAGCCATGA